GATCCTGTTCTTGCCACAGGACACACACACACACACACCTCTCTAAAACCCAGTACTTGAGACCTGAGACCTCCTCAAAATCTTTATTAATTAAACAGCTACCTAACCTACCTAACACACTGTCAAAGAAATGATATTTATTGCATAACAAGTAGAGTACGGCCGTTGTCAGGGTTTGGGTGCGAATACCATACTCTCATACGGTATACAGTACATGCACCCACTTGTTCTGTAGCAGCTCGTTGTCTTGGCGGAGCTGGCCCAGCTCGGAGCGAAGGCTGCGGTCCTGGCAGCTCAGAGAGGAAAGCTGACTCCGCAGCTCTGACTCCAACTGCCTGTTGGCCTGAAGATCTGCCTTCAGACGCTTCACATCCTGCTCCAGCCTTTCAGGGTAGAAAAAGGAAAAAGAGGCCACAAGGTCATCGAAAGGCAGTCACAGTAAACCGCAACAGCATAGGCAAATGTGTTTCTTACCGAATGAGAGCGTCCGGCTTGCCCAGCTGGTTGTTGGGGATGCAGTTCTCCACTGGGTCCTTCTGGCCCTTCCCTGCCCCCTTCTGCTTCTTCTCGTTCTTACTGGTCGAGGAACCTGGCGGCACGCTGCCATTTGAAGAACTGTGATTCCGTGGGGACGAGTTGGAAATGTTACCCCCACCTCCGCTGGCATTTTTGTAGTTCTTTCCCGCCCCCCCCATTTCCTCTTTAGGAGCAGAGTGTGTGTTGGTATCGGCGTGAGTGTGTTCCCCTGCCAGGTCGTTATTCAGTCTCTTTGCCCCAACGTAGTTCTCTATGTACTCTGTCTCCTGTAGTTTGGAGTCCAGTGCGTGTATAATACTGTTGTTATTGATTCCAATCGTGTTTTGTTTTTTGCCCTCACGCTCTTTTCCAGTACTGTCCTTCCCTTTTTCCCGGTACTCCAGTTCTGGCAACTGGACTGTGGCGTTTTTCTTCCCAGGCGGTGCTCCGTTTTGGGATATTACTGAGGGTTCTACCTCTGAGATCCCTTTAGCTAGAGCAGCTGGAAGAGAGCGACAGTAGGCAGAGTTAGAGCACGTCTAAAAACATACTGGACAGAATTAACCAAATTCCAGAGGAAACTGGAAACATATTTGCCCATAAACAGAGATTGAATGACGCCTTTGAGAGTGATGAAAAACAGAGAAATCCCTGATAAATTTAGAAACAGGCTCATGCCAGCAGACTGATACAGGAATACCTCCCTGCTTTCCATTAACTACAGAAAACAGAGAGTAAAACTATTCGGGTGATTTCACACTGAAGCTTTTTGGTGCAATCAACTGAACTCTGTTTGGTTCAGGTTGTTTCGGCTGGTGTGAAAGCTGGCAGTCGAACTCTAGTGCGGACAAAACATCCGGGCTGAGACTGCTTTAAAAAAAATAAATAAAAAGGCAGGTCAAGGTCTGGACCTATGTTTGTTGTTTGTAAGCGAAGCAGACCAACAACAAGATTATGTGAAAGTTAATGCCTGAATTGAAGGAGATAAGCTACTATTAAATTCACTCACTGATTCTGAACTTTCAAGAAAGCAACCTGTACAAGCAATGCATATTTATCTATGCGATATCATCTAGTAACCACGGTAACAAGTGTGTCATCATGTAAAAAAAAGTGAAAAAAGTGAAAAGAAATTAAAACTGGTGTGTTGATCCTGTGTCGTACTATTTGCATTTTACAATCTGCATTGTAATGTAGTGAAATGTAGCAGACATACAATAACCACCCCCTCCAAAATATTATGGTCCAAGGCGCCGCTCCCCTCCCCTGAATTTTTATCTGTTTATGATAAACATGTTATCTTTGAGGTTCAGTTACAGTCTGTACTATTGATGCTCACAATCAACTATGTCTTTATGAGCTGTGTGTGACAGCAGAGAAGATAAACGGACACATGAGGTTTAGTTAAATGCAACGTGACCTGCTGTCAGTCACTGGAATTTGATTTTCCCTCATGCTGGTCCACGTAGCACTGTTGATGCAGGATGACATCACCAAATCTGTTCAATGAATGAGTTACTTCTCATCCTGTTCACCCTTCTTAGTTCTGTGGTTGTTAAAATGATCAATTATGTCAAATAATAAAAGTTACACAAATATATACAGTCTCTGGTGACTTTAATAGGTACATCTCCTGTAGCATAGCAATCCAGTTCAACTGCTCTGCCACGTAGTTTACCTTTATGGGGCTTTTTTGTTTAAACTTTTAGAGAGGTGTTAAATCAGTTATTAGTTGTAGTTAGTGGTTGTGTTGTACTAGGCTGCATTATATTGAAATGTGTCTCTAATATAGTTCCCCTCCTTTTTGTAAATGGGCTGGTAAGAACATAGGAAACACCACTCTGACAGTGGACGCTATTGTGTTTGACTTTCCTGATACGTTTTAATACTAAGTAGTGCAACATGTTTTGTGTTGTTTCTATCTGTGTCTTACCCTCCTCTGCCTCCCTCTCCTGTCTCTGCAGCATCTGTTGCTCTGGAGGTAAAGCCTGCTGTAGAAGCTGCATGTAGAATTCATTCTCCTTCTGCACTTCCTTCTGTTTCCTCAGTCGCATCTTGTAGCTAACGTAGCTCTTAAAGCCGAAGCCCAGAGTCACCACTGGATAGCCGATACTGGTGAAGGTGAAGAGAAAGACAGACAGCTTTTGATGTAAAGGTATGCTTATATTTTCAGGCAATACATATTTAAGGGTCTCCTATTTTTACCATGACTTTTACTACTTTATTCAGGCATTAGACTCTAGCTATGACGTTTACCAGTGAGCTGCAAAGGGTCGACACAGGTCTACGTGAAAGTTCTTCAGATCTTTGAACCGTATGGCGGCTTCGATGTACACAAACAGGATCCACAGCGATACAGTGGGTAGACAGACTCCTCTCTCTGCGTGAAAGTGAGGGACAAGAGATTAGAAGAAAAAAAAAAATATTTAAATCAGCGCTCTTGAAGAAACTTGGCAGCTGTGAATTTCTTGTGCGTGAAGTGAAAGTGGCTGTTTGGCTGGCAGAGATAAAAACAGTCCACAAAAAACTTGGGACTAACCTGTGTGCCAGACGTACTGGACCCATACGTAGGTGCTGGCAGCAAAAAAAAGCCATTGGACGGGGATGAAGAGGAGGCAGATGATGTCTGACGTAAACGCCACACATACAAAGAAGACAGAGAACGCCTAATTGTAGGAGGAGAAAGAGACAGACCGTTAAATATGTCATAACTACTGTGCAGAAAGAAGTTTCTGTGTGGAAAACATACACATTAGGCACTAATGTAGAGGCGAGTGTTCACATGGTCCCTTTACACTTACACATTGGCGTGTGTGCTGTAAAATACACTCAGATAACCTTGTCTTGCTATTTCCCCATCCAGCACCACCACGGTTGACAAGTATACTCCCCCCAGCAACCTTTATCCCATTTGTTTCTTTGCTGCACCCGCGTACAGTACATAGGTTCTTTGCATTGTGTCAGGGTCATAGAAACAGGCTCTCACCAGTCCCTGATATCTGAAGGAGTCGTAGACACTTCGGATGAAAAGCCAGAAGGGCCACAGGTACTCAAACCTGAACTCCAGCACAAAGTCGGCCAGCAGAACTAACACCCACACCACCAGAAACTTCAGGTACAGGAACGTACTGCGGGAGAGGACAAGACAAAGAAATAAAGACAGAGAGAAATGTTAAAAAGAAAGGCAAGAAAGAGACAAAGGAGGGACACTAAACAGGATTTACCACGGATTTACATGGTAGGTGACAAAGCTGCTGGGACATCGGGTTGATACAACAAGACTAGTGTTTATAAGAACGACATCTCCAGTGTGATTGCACACAATGTTGCTGCAGGTTCCTGCTAGATTCCATGGCAGATAAATGCCAATTCAACAGTGAGCATGAATACAAATCCAGATATTCCCCACGACTCTAAGTATGTTTTTTCTTTTATAAAAGTAACTGAAAAAAGATAAAGGACATCCAAATAAGTGTGAGGGAAGGAAGAGAGACATAGATAAAGAGAGACATAGATAAAGAGCATAATACGGTGTCGTGTCTGGACATGTTCCTTAAAGCACAGCTAGTTCTTTTTCTGGCTTGCCATCAATCAATCAATCAGTCAATCAATCAATCAATCAAATCGGTAAATGCGTGCTATTTTTATATTACAGCTCCTTAAATCTTACGTGCGCTTTACGTGTTCCAGTTGGACCTGATTACTTTAGTGGGTATTGTTTCACTGGCGTATTCAACCTCTGCCAGACAAAGCACAGGTGAGCATCCCGCCGTCGGCATCACTCCGGACTTCAAAACGAGCGCCCCTGACATTGCTGCTGTCATCTCAAGCCCGAGCTTGGTTTTTTCTAGTTCATGCTATCTCTACTGTAGCTGAGGAGATTTCCACTGAGCGGAATGTCTTTCAATATGGACTCAATGCCCACATAGTCTCCCAGCGACCTTTCATTTTAATTAAACCAGACATTTCATTTAAGCACCCAGCCAGGGACAAATCATTTACGAGATGCACACACAAGTAACGTAACATTAAGGCCTATAATTTTAACAATACGCTCGCTGGTATCTTAATTTAGAGCTCTCTGTAGCTAAAAAAACAAACAAAGCGTGCTTGAATATGAATGCAGCAGAAGCTGGCAGCCCTGTCTTGACATATGCAGAGAGGCGCCATTGTTACACAATAACGTCCCTCCAGCCCCTTGTTGTACCTGCTATATATACCCTCGGTGATTCGGTTCCGTTTTAACGGCCGTCGGAGTTTGCTGCAGTCCGCATTGCGCCGCTTCATCCTCCCCCTGTTGATTCACTTGTGATATCGGTCTGGTAACTGGAACTGGAAATGTCATTCGCTCATCCTAATATTCACACTTCTTCAATTATCCACCATTGTTGTTGTTTTATGCACATGAAACAAAGAAATAAATAAAAACAGTCCGCCGAAGGCCCTCCCCCTTTCACGACACGCTGCGTCTCCTTCCTAACGTTCGACGTCATTACGTCGTCGGAGACGTTGGAAACATGGCTGCCCGCTACGAGTCGAGACGTTTCTCTCAGTTTTAAATATTTAATATTACCTTCTGAGCGGTAAGTGTGACAATAAGAGCTTACAGTGATATTAGTTCACTTTGTGCGCGGCCACTTGTTATGTTAAACGCCACTGGTACGTAAAATAAGCCCATGTACACATGGCGTTACATGGTAAAGACTTATCCATGCTGACTCCACGTTTGTTTGTTTAGCCAGGCATTTAACCAGATTGTTGCTCTAATAGGAATGTATTTAGTCTCCAATGTATTCCGCTGTAGTATCACATTATAAAAGCTCGTATCGTTTCGGTAAAGCAGTTCATATCCTTAAGTTTGTATCTGGAGGGGTTTGGGTTGAATACATGGAGCAGGACCCACGTCTTTAGTAATGAACAGCAATGAAAGAAGTTCTGAAAACGCATAGTGTCACTTTATGTACCATAATGTTTTATTTTTTGTTGATTTTGTTATTTTGGATGTTGACAGTGAGAAGTTAATGTTACCAATCTATGGTGGCTTTATGTTTTAACAGATAATATGGACGAGGTAGAGAAAATGGTTCCATCTGCTGAGGAAAAAGAAAAAGAGGAGGAGGAGATCGAGGAGGAAGAAGAAGGAGAGGATGATGCTGGAGGTGAGGAAGAAGAGGAAGATGACGTAGAGCAGGAAGGTGGAGATGATAAGGAAGAAGAAGAAGCAATTCCACAGGCTGCAGATGAAATTGAGAAAAGGATCCCATTGCCTGTTCAGCCCAAAGAGAAAAAGCAGCCTGAGGGCCTGAACCTCAACAATGAGGTGGTGAGGATGAGGAAGGAGGTGAAGAGGTTGAGGGCTTTGATCATCAGGAAGCTGACACGCCAGATGGGCGCCCTGAAGAAGAAGAAGGGGAAAGATATGGAAGTTGAAAGGAATCAGAGGAGAGCTGCCAGACTGCTGGAGGAGATCCATGCCATGAAGGCCCTCTCGCCAGACCTGGTAGGTTTGGTTTGTTTGTTATTTTTGGAATATGCATGAAAAAGTTACTCAAACTGATTGTGCCGAAACACATTCGGTGAAATGCCTAATAAGATAAACCGTTTTCGCTGTTGCCAGGTAACCAAGACAGCCTTGCAGAAGAAGCTCAACTTCGAACAGGAGTGCAAAAACCCCAAGTCTACTATTTCTGACCGGGCCATAGCGCGCATCGCCACCCACCCTCAGTTCAACAAGAAGATTGAGGACATCAAAGCTGCTGTGAAAGCCTTCAAAGACGAGCGGATGAAGGGTGGGAAGCTGGTAGTGAAGGAAAAAGTGCAAAATAAAGCTGTAACGGTAACTGCGCAGTCACCACCAAACAAAAAGGGAGAAAGGAAGAGTGAGAAAGAAGAGGGAGACGTTACAGTGGAGCAACAGGAAATCGCAGTCAATGAGGAAGGAGATATTATCCTCAAAGACACTAAAGATGCAACTGTTGCTGAGCCTGAAAAGGCAACAAGGGAAGCAACTCATTCAGCTGATACTACTAAAATACCTGAGTCTAAGAATGTAAGACCACCAGCATCTATAAAAAGTAGTGAAGTTAAGGACATTGTGAAAAATAAACCTCAAAGTAAAGATGCAGAAAAGAAACCCAGTCTTAAGTCTGCACCTGAGGTGCTTCAGAAAAAGAAAGTGGAGGTAGAGAGTGATTTAGATTCATCAGATGATGAAGAGAAAGAGTACTTTGACGACAGCACAGAGGAACGTTTCCATAAGCAGTCCTCCCAGTCTGAGGAGAGCGACGACGACGACTTCTTTGTTGGAAAAGTGAGCAAATTCAAGAAGAAGAAGCAGAAAAGTGTAGAAGGGGAGAAGGTGCATGAAGTGAAGGCGGACCCAACAGACCAGGTCCAGAGTAAACTTGATGAGCTTGAGGCCAGGCTGAAGTCTAAAGCGACCTCCCTTCAGTCTGTATTTTGTTCTTCCCTCTCTGTATCTAAGCCTGGTGGGGGCAGAGGTGCAGGCAGAGGGAGAGGTGGGGATAAATTTAGGGGCCAAGGCAAACCAAGGGGTGGCGGTGGTCTCAACAGAGATTTTAATAAACAATCCAAGTTCCAAAATCAGGAGAAAGGAACGGAAAGATATTCAGGGTCCAAGTACAACAAGTCAGAGTCATCAGAGAAGGGCTTCCCCTCTGTCGGCAGAGGCAGGGGGCGAGGCAGGGGGGATGTAAGGCAAAGTGACCGCAGGGGTGGAGGTGTCTTTTCCCATCAGGCACCACAGCAGGCACTGCATCCATCCTGGGAGGCCAGTAAGAAAAGGAAGGAGCAGCAAGGACAAATCCTGGCCTTCCAGGGGAAGAAGATCAAGTTTGACGATGATGACTGAACCTTTTTGTTTATTAATGCTGATTATATGGCAGTGATTGTTTTTATCTGGCACACTATTGAAGTCACGGTCACTTATTCCGTTTGATGCTCAATCTGAGTACAGTTCAGTGTTGCATCCGCATGTCTGCTAAAAGACCACAACCCTGGAGATTTTTTTTGTAAAACATCAATAGAAATATGTTTTATTATTACTAAATGTGATTTAATTCTAAGCAGTGAAATGCATCACCCGAAGCATGTCATTTTTTTAAACAAGTTTGAGGAAGAATATTGTTTGATTTATGTATCAACCTGTACACAATTTTCCTGCTTTGTCCAAAATGGTGTCAGTTCAGTGTTGCATAGTACACATCCTCTGAAACTGATATATTTTGATACACATGCTTATTGATTATCTTCTGCAGCAAGACCTTCAACCTGTGTTTTGTACCTGTCCCTCACCACTGTATGTGTTTAAACAGTAAAACGTTTATATTGTAGTTATGGGTTTAATGTTTTTTTGATGTGGTATCTTTATTCCAAGTAAACGTCACTGAATGCATTATAAAATGTAGATGATAAAAAGAGAAATGCTGCACATAAAGTAACATCAGAGCCCTATTAGACATTCTCTGGTAACATTATTACTTTACTGTTCATCATCAGCTTTGCAGCCATTGGTCGGCTACAGCTGCGTCACACGGTGTGACAGCCAATAGTAGTTTACATGCAAATGTGGTTTAAAACTGTCGCGGGAAACCGGAGTTTGGTGCGTTGAATGTCCTCGTTCTTCATGAGCTCTGTGTCGTCTTAAATGATATGTATCCGCGTTATAAATGTGGATTTTTAAAAAACATAGAGCTGGATAGGGCTCGTTTTATAATATACAAGAGGTGAAAAGTGATATGTTGGCAGGCAGCGGTCAATCCGGAACAAGATGTGGAAAGTGGTCTCCTCGGTCTCGCAGAGGTCCGGCGGTATTCACGCTGGGTGCCCCGAGAATAGCCTGACCGCGGACCATGAGCTGCCGCCTGGTCGGGGAAAGAGCGGTCCTTCGAGCCGACGGACGGTCTTCAGTACGCCACACCCTCCGGTCTCTGAACATCAGGGACACGGCAGAAATATTATCCCGAACGAGTTCAGGTAACTAACATTAAGATAATTTGTTTTAGCAAATTTGTGTGGTGCTGGTTCTACTTAAAGTAACTGTTTACTTGCACACATCACCCATTTAATCTCAATTTACGCCACGAACGACTTTATCATTGACCTCTTGTGACTTGTCCTTCTTGATAGACTCCTTTTGTTCAAAGTATGTCGTATGCTTGGTGTCATATCTTTCTTACCAGTGTGTTTTGTGACATTAGCACCATTGTTAATCGGAATGCAACTCTAGTTAGCTGCGTCAAGCCCGCGCTGGTTAGCGTGGTTGTTAACGGAAGTGATACATTTCTCTTCAGAATAAAGTACTGTTGTTATTCAATGCTTTTGATTTAACGGTCAAAATTGCAACGTAACGTTAATAATACGGTAGCCATTGTATTAATGAGCTTTAAAAAAAAAAATGCTTTTTAAAATTAAATGAATAAATAAAAAGCAGTGCCAATATGTCACGGACAGAGAAGGCTGTATTAATCTCCACTGATACGTTGTAGCACTGCCCACTATCACTGTGTACTATTATATGTGAGTTTTTTGCTATGGATATAATTATGTCTCGCCTTAATTTCCCGACGTTGATTGTAACATTCGTGTATGCGCTAATGACATGCATTTATTTTGAAATCGAATTTGTGACGATTCGTCTACATTCATGTATTTCCGGTAACTTCACACTTGTGTTACCTTTGGCTGAGGCATCACACCGCGCCTTGTCCGAGCATACTTCTGCAAACTTTGGTCTTCAAGTGGCGCACACGCTGACAGCGCTCTTTAACAGTCGCTCTTCTGTGGGAATACACTGGTAAGGAGGTAACGGGAAACTGTATTGTGTTCATTATTGCCAGAAGCGAACTACTGTGCAGGCCTTTGGTGAGCATGGGAGGGGGATGGGGAGAAGTTGCTCCAACTAGCTAAACACACTGCTGAGGGAAGCTAGCTTCTGCCCCAACCCCCAGGTAATAGAACAACTCAATAACCAGCTCCAGGTGACCATATGAACCTAATATTCCATGTAGAGACACATTCATTGCTCCTGTTTACATGCAACTTAATTCACAAGTGAATATCATGGGTTTGTGATATGTTTATACTGTATTATTGCCCAAAATGGCTGCCCTGTGTGCCACAAGATTCATTGAGATAACTGGAAACTAAAAGCCTAAGCATGATGTCGTAACAGTAAGTATTTTAAATGCACATGTTGCTTTCTTTCACTCAGGCTAAGAGAAGGCTGGAGCTGGAAGCCCGTGACCCCCAGGACCTCCAGGATGGTGGTGGGGCCGCCAAGAGGCCAGTGGCCTCTCTGTCCCACACTGGAGGAAAAGGTACGATTTGGTACTGTGGGCTTAGTGTTCCAGTGCTGGGGAAGAGGTGGTACATGGCAGCATACCAGCCTGTGTTTCTACGGTTTATGTGTCAAACTGACATTCTCTAATGAACGGTGTTTTCCACACACATTCTCATGGTGGTGAGTGAGTTTAATGGGCTGGTCAGCTGGTTTGTGTTTTGTCCAGCAGTTCCAAATTCAGTTCCTTTTCTATATGCCCTATCCATCACCACGTTTCAGGGTTTTTTTTTTTTTTCAAAGCTTTTGTAGTCTGTAGTAAGTTTTCCAAAGTTCCTTTTAGTCTCCTCTGTTTTTCTTGAGAACCTGGTTTTGATCCTCACCTTCGAAAGGCTCTCCATACACTTCTTTCTTCTTCCTCGTTTGAGAGCCACATTGCCAGGGAAACGTGTCTCATTTGAAGGACTGCTGAGCTGTGGTTCTGCTCTTGATTTTCATAACTTTAGCAAAAGTCCGTCCTCCGAACTGTTTGCTGTTCAATGTCACTTTCACTACTCACTGGACCTAAATACAACAGTCTCCAAACTACACTTCCTTTTTTACTTTGAGTATTCAGTTTAAGATAAATTTATGATGGTGAAAAGTGTTTTATGTCATATAGCATTGAACTTTTGAATCGGAATGGTAAAGAGTTTAAAGATATATAATCAAAATAAACACACTACAAAATGACGTATTGAAATGCATGTAGGAAAAATTAAAATAATCTTAAAAGGAATCGTCACAGATTCCACATTTCTCAACCCTCACCCATTTTTCCAGCTCCCGCCCCCAACCCCATAGCATACAAGTCCCTGTTGGAGAAGTCGCGCTATGACACTTCGCTCGGTATCTTGACGCAGAGGTTTGCGGAGCTGATGAGGCGCTCTGCTGATGGGGTGTTGGACCTAAACCTAGTCGCCAAGGAGCTCAATGCCCCCAAGAGACGCGTGTACGACGTCACCAATGTCCTGGAAGGAATCGATCTCATCAAAAAGAAGTCTAAAAACCACGTCGAGTGGTTGTAAGTATGCATGGATGTAACGGGTAGTGTGTGGGGTGCGGAGTTGAACTTGAACAACGCACATCATGACTGACTGACTGACTTAGCGTTGTTAGTATGTTGTTAGTATGTTGTTAGTACCTTTGATAGCTTTGTAGTGGATGTGTTTTTAAGACTGGCAGTTAACAGCAGATTATATTACCTTTGAAAAATGGTAGCAGGTGATGGAGGATACATGGCATTCTACTTCAGCCTCTAGATCTCAGCGTTAATCCTTGACCGTATTATTTTATGTACAGTTAGCATTACAGTTCTTACTATTCGTCTTATTCTTAATTTACTCATGATCTGTACTCGTTTTAATTTACGTTTGATGTCTTGAGTTAGTTATGGCGTTAATCTCGTATTGTCGCTTGGATGTGTGTGCACAGGGGCGGTCAGGTGAACCTACGCAGCAATCAAGAGCTGAGGGCTCTCATTGAGGAGGAGGAGAAGCTGGACGAGCTGATCAAAAGCTGTACGCGGCAGGTTTACCAGATTTATGAGAACCGTTACAGTCAGAGATATCCTTTGATTGTGATTTCAGCTGCATTTTGCACTGCTGATGTGACCCAGATTGAGTTAGGTCAAATGTGGACACCCCAAGCATTATAAAGAATTATTGATAGTGGGTCTAAAGGCCAATCCAAATCGACAGTTTTCTATTTTGGTGTGGATTGGACGGATTAATGTGTCACTTTGGAGCTTAGTCATTGTGTGTATCGCCAGCTTCACACAAGCACCAGTCTAGGTTGACTATATTCCTTAACCTTGAGGATCACATTTGCCTATTTGACTTACGAGGATGTCCGAAGGATTCCCAGCTTGAAAGAACAGACAGTGATCGTGATTAAAGCCCCTGCAGAGACAAAACTGGAGGTGCCACACCCAGAAGAGGTACATACAATTATTTATCTTTTGTTTGTTATGAAACTCAATATTATGACTTGCAAACCCCGGTCAAACAATACAGAGTGGTCATTGCTTTGGTTTATAGGTGCAACATTGGCTAGAGTGCAGTTAATTTCCTGCTACATCCTCTCTCACGCTGCTGTCTGCTGTCTGCTCATATTCCAAGAGCATTTAATGAAAGGTCTCTATTGCCCCCTGTGCTCAGAGCCTCCAGGTCCACCTCAGCAGCACACAGGGGCCCATTGAGGTGTTCCTCTGCTCTGATGAACCCATCCCTATGGAAGCCACCGATGGCTCCGTGGGCAGTGGCAGCCACTTAAACTCATGCTCCAATGGGAATGGCTCTGTGTCCCTATTGCCTTACTCATCCTTTGTCCAGGTATCTTCCAAAGGTGAGTCTTCCTCACTGTGTTTAGTCCTCGCTCTACATTTTTGGCTCCACTTTGCTTTTTAAACGTTGATTGTTGAATTTTTCGTCCCTATTGTCTCCTTATCCACACTCCCTTTGTCTTTCCAGACCATGCTAAACCTAATTCTGGAATCAATAGTATCTCCCACCCGCCGACACAACTCTCATCACCGGCTTCCGTCACCCCTGTCTCCCCCGGGCCCACCTCCTTGCACCCAGCCTCTGAAGATCAGCAGAGCTTTGTCACCCTCACTCCACCTCTGACCTTCTCTCTTGATGGAGAGGAGTACCTCCTGAGTCTGACTGAGGATGAGGGCATTACTGACCTCTTCTCCTCTGTTGACCTGGACCAGTTGCCCCTGGATATTCCCCTCTGAACAGCCCTTTTTGAAATGCATGAACTTTAGAAGCTGTGGGCCTCTTACTACAAACACGATATCAAGGGGGATATGGTAAAAGGACAAACTGCTCATTTGAATGTCATTTTCTTTTTTATATTTACGTTCTTCCTATCCTGGATGATGTGACTGGGATTTACTGACACTCAGGTCTGTGGAGGAGGTTGTTGCCCAAAAGCATCACATTGGAGTGGTCTTGCAATAGCTTTGGATATGGAGAGACCAAGTGAGATCTTTTTATGTCTTCCTTATTGTCTTTAGGACATGCACTTTGTTTCAGACCTTTGATCTATTGCATTTCTGTGTTCTTCCTAAGTGTCCTTCTCAAGTCTCAACACAGGACTTATTCTTGACCCTTAATGTCATGACATCCCGTAGCGACGGTCTGGAAAGATGTCATGGGTGACATTTTGTATCATGATTACAAAGGAGCCTTTACAACAAAGTCTGATGATTTAGCACCTATTAGTGTGAAGAGGTGTTGATTAAAAGCATTAAAAATGCAAAGAACTGATGTCTTGTGTTGGCTCTGCTACCCAACTGTTTGTTGCCTGATACTTAACAATTCAAATCCACTACGAGGCAATGAACAACATCTTTGTTAAAGTTTTTGGTTGGAGGAGTCGGGAGTAATTTAAGACGTAACGTAAAAATGATTACATAAAGTCCATGAGCATTCTTAAAATTGTTACACTAAGCTAATCTAGACTAAAAACAGTCTGTTCAGAGCTTCATGTCATAGATGTCCCTTTTTATATTCAATTAACTCTCAGATTCTTCCTTACTTGGTAAAACACTTGTTATACTATACACCAGATTTGCGCTACCCAGAAGACCTTGAGGGCTAAATGGCTTTTATGTGTTGTAGCTCAAATGGTCAGTTCTAGGGCAAAGTCAATACTATCAAAGTGAAATGAATGGAGACATGCCTAATTACATGAGCACATGTTCACCAGTTTGAAATACATTCTAAAGTAAATCTTTGATTATTTTTAAACAGCTGCTCATATTATACATAAACTATACACTTTTTCAATCAATAAAACAGTTCAATTCAGTTTCAATTTGAATGGCAATAATGAAGTTCAAAGCGTGGTCCGTTTATGTTGCAGTTCAAGCCTTTATCTGCATTTCCTGAATGCCATGAAACTAGATTTTCCACTACTCTCACATTGCAGTGTTATTGTAGTATTTGACCATGCTACAAAATACTGAATTATGACTGGATGATTGGAATATTGAAATACTTGAATTTCATCAGTCATCATTCACCCCCTCATCTCCTTGAACTACAGATACACTCTACATTAAGCCCTTTGTGTTGAGGTCACAGTTGTGTGTGGTAGGGAGATGTTTTAAATTTTTGAATAAATATGAGTTTGATAAATTAATCTAGCATGATAGAGATAAAGTGGAAGTGTCATGTGTTAAATTGGGACAAACTGCTATCAAAAATTAGAAAATTACTTACTTGGTCTGGCAAGCACAGTGGATAATAAATGAATCATCCAAGCAAAGGAAATGTTTCATTAACTAGCAAATGTTTTATATATTGTATAAGTAGTTCATTTTGTTGGAACTAGTTGATTGATTTACATTCATTGGCATGGAAAAATATTGCCATTACGATGTCATTAGTCATTAGAGTAACTGGAAACATTATTCACTTAGTTGTTAAATAAGTCATATCTTGGATCACTATTAAATGAGGTTTTGATAACAATGGTGACAGGTTCTACATGTTGGAGAAGATTTATTAACATTAACTATATGTTTACCTGTTTATAGCAATGTTAAATTAATTCGAAATGTAATTTCAATTGGGTAATCCAGTGGATTATGATCATTTAATTCATGTCAACCGATGGTATCTGTGTTTTTCAGTACAACTTTCCAAATCCACACAAGCTGAAACACTGCTACATGAATGTGTCCCAAAGCACTTGACTTGACCAGATAAAACATGACTAGAAGAGATTAGTTTAGTCCCAATATGTGCTGTTGTCTGTTTTGGTCCTTAACTGCATGTCAAGATGTATCAGCTTGAGGTTTCCTTTGTCACTGGCCTGCTGCATGAAAATAAGTCATCGTGGTCTGTGCTTTCATTTGCGTGTTCATTCAGTCCATCATGCAGTACTAATATAGATGGCGACACTAGGAGGCAGTGTGATCCCACAGAATTCTTGCCGTAATCAGCTGGGATGTTTTTAAGCTATGTGACAAGGTGTTAACCACCTTTCTGGGAATTTAATGAATGTGGCATCTACTGGAAATGTTGTTCAGATACTTTAACTCAGTCGTACTCGTTTGGCTGCCATGTCAAAACATGACAAGAGAAGCGTTTTAATGTTCATATTCATTAGTGGAGAAAGTTGCAGAAAAAAAATGGCTCTTCAGATTGAACGCACATGAGTAGGGTTTTTGTTTCAGCTACAAAACTTCACCTACTGAGCGAGTATGGCTCCGGCAGGACAAACACTTGCTGACAGGGTCATGTGACAGTTCGTCCTCTCATTGGTGTCTGAACATTTTGAGCATTACTGGTGATGAACTACATTTTAAAATAAAAAAATCAGGTCAAACTACTGCATGAAAAATGCTTTTACAATATATATATATATATATATATATACACAACCTGTTAAACAGCAAAAGAGAAGCCTGTTAGGAGAGTGGTGGGGGCTTAAAACCCAGGTTTGACTGACATCATCGGCTCTGCTGACCTCATTACTATTCCTTTAGGCTCTTTAATGTACATACATATAAAACAAAAGACTGGTGACTAGCTGTGTTGTTAAGTAGGGTGGTGTGCCTAGATAGTTTTGACAAAAATATGTTCAATATATTTATACACATTACTCAGATTCAAATTTATAGTCATGTATTGCCAACCGATAAAAGGTATTGTGACACAATAGAAAACATGAGATCTGCAACAATCATTTTTAGGAGAAGACTGTTTGGAATGACCTCATTAGCCCAGATGGCAATTATTGTCTGTTGACAACAATAACAAGTCATAGATGTGAATTTTTTTCAAGATGTGTTTAAAAAAAAAAAAAAAGGCAGAACTGAATCTCTGATGTGCCATTTCCTGTATACATCCACATCCACTTCTTTTAAACTTTACTCTCCTATGCAGAATCCAACTGTTCATGCTTCTCTTTGTCTGAGCCACAGCATCTGAGAAAAACACATCAGTGCCCTCAACATGATGATGTAATCTGTCGGGAGCCTGCGGCATCCAGACCTGTCCATAGATGGCAGTGTTGTACCTCAAAACCCCAACTAAACCCTGTCAACCCAGTTCCCCACAAACGGTGGCACACACTTTGAGTTCATGGAGAGTCACTGGATCACCGCTATTATTGATTCATGTGTGTTTCTGTTGTTTTTTTGTCCTCTGTGCCACAAAGATTTGCACACGGAAAGAACAAAACAAAGTGAATATTGAATTGGCTCATATTAAGCAGGGCCTGACGTAAGCCCCCTCCCATCTCAAGGGGACTTGTTAAAGATCAGTCAATGTACCTGTCAATCAGCCGATCAATTGGTCAAAGTTTCATTTTTAGAGTGCTTTTCCCTGTCACCTACAAGCGAATGACGTACAGTGGAAGGACTTTAAAACACTGGACAAAACACACAGATGGCTGGGCTTATAGGGCGAGAAAGGAATAAGTCACCTCTTAAGACTCGGCCCCTCAGGGGGTTTAGGAGTGACTCGGAGCAAGTGCAATCCGGTCTGAAAGTGTAGCTTGATAGTCTTGTCCAGCTGTCCCCTTTCCTTAAACTATATCACTTGTCCCTACGCTGCGTTCTCTTCTGCCAGGCTGTTGTTTTGACTGCTGTAATGCACTGAGGCAGAGAGAGAGAGAGAGAACAAAAATGAGAGAGGGTTAAAGAGGGAGCATGAAAGCAAGAGAGAGAGAGAGGGAGAGAGTGTACTACTGGCCTCTCATTGGCTACTGAGAGCACGCCGTCTTTTTGCGTAGCGCGCTCCTAGCCAATCGGCTGCCTTAACAATATTTTGGGTTTATGAATGAAATGAACAGTGAGAGAGCAGGACAGGAGTAGTTTGATTCATCACCCGTTGCTCGTGGTGTGCAGAGTATACCAAAGAGATAGGTGTGTTTGTTTGCAGTGCAGTCCTACTAAGAGGGCCTCTGGATGTGCTGGGGGAGATCAACAGATGACCATTTAAAAAGCACATCCATCTGCCTTTGGTAAAGAAGTCATTTCAGTTTAAACAGCAGATATTTCAGAGCAAACCTGTGGCCCGATCAGCACTGACGGACGGGGACATAGAAGAGCAGCTTCTTCAGTTACATTTAGTTCCCAACATATTTTAGTATTTCATTTTATTGTATCTCCCCGTCTATCATGTTTACTGTAACAGCAGTTCTTGGCCGTTTCCCAGAAAAAGATGGAGCAATCCTGCCCTCCAGACAAAAAAAATCGGTGACATTGCCTTGTCCTCCACTCTAAGTACAAGACAAGGTCACGTTCTCGCTGATCAAGATAATAACCCCATATTGAGACAAATCAAAACAGAAATCAGCTTTGGGTGGCGTGCAAAGCTTAAAAGAAAAAGAAAAGGCGAGAGTTGTAGAGTGGGTTTGTGTTTACACTGTTGAACTACAGGGGTCAGTGTGCTTTAAGTGAAGTGCTTGTCTCAAGTAGTGCATTGTGGGGGCTGTATCAGTCAATTTTTGTAAGTTTCTGAAATTGACAGTCACACCCACATTAGGGTAGGGGGTTTACATTGAGATTGGCTGGTGTGTGAAGGAGAGAATGCTTGCAGGATTTAAACTCTCAAGTTCTCTATATGCATTCTCCCTTTTTCTATGAACAACCAAGTGCAATGGGCAGCGTGAATGATTATGAGGAGATCAAAAGTGTGTGCTGTTATCTGCATTTCAACAGTTATTGCATCTCAGCCCTTGCTATAACAGCAGGCTTCCAAGTGTGGCTGTTCAGAACAGCTATAAACACTTGCATTCGGACATTGTCGGACAACACGTATGAAGTTGGTTCTGTAAAGCATACCTCGGCCTTGGGGCAAATTTGTATCCTCCCTGCTACTCCCCTGGCCTGTTACTCGCCATTGCTACACCTACTGAGGCCTCATTATCATTAGCTGGAGGTTCACAATGACAGTTCTGGGCAACATCTTGGCCATCTGTGAAGTAGGGAGACTCGGGGGAACTAGAGTCACTGTTACAGCTTGCAGTTGAATGTGAGCGGCCACGTGGCCAGTGCAGACAGATTGATTGTATTGATTAAACTGAAGTATATCTTTTCCTTCAGATGAGCATGAGCCACACTGAAAAATTGGCCTGACGCACACAGAAACTGGGAGATATGGAGCTATGTTAGGAGCTGTGGGGGAGTGTCAGTTGGGCTATCCCTGGTTGTGGAGGCTTATGGGTTTGATTGATTTTTGTATATGTAAAGGGGAAGGTGTTCAAGCTGAAAAGCTTCCTATTTCTCTGTGCTGGGTTGCTAATGAGA